GGTTGAGGGGCTCCCAGAGATCCCCAAAGTTGGACTTTAATCATCGGGGGGGTCAAGGAGAACCTGGAGAAGCCCCCAAAGGTTGGACGTTGATCATAGTGGGGGTCGTGGTCAAGGAGAACTCCCCAAATTGGACTTTGAGGTTGAGGAGCTCCTGGAGACCCCCAAAGTTGGATGTTGGGGTCGAGGTGCTCCAGTTGAAACACCAGAGTTGGACATTGGTCATCAAGGTCAAGGAGAACCCCCCAAAATTGAATTTTAATCATCGGGGGGGTCGAGGAGAACCTGGAGAAGCTCCCAAAAGTTGGATGTTGATCATCGTGGGGGTCAAGGTCAAGGAGAACCCCCCAAATTGGACCTTAATCATTGTGGGGGTCGAGGAGAACCTGGAGACCCCCAAAGTTGGATGTTGGTCATCAAGGTCAAGGAGAACCCCCAAAATTGGGTTTTTAATCATCGTGGGGGTCAAGGAGAACCTGGAGACCCCCAAAGTTGGGCATTGGGATCGAGGTGCTCCAGTGGAAACACTAAAGTTGGACATTGAGGTCATGGAGAACCTGGAGACCCCCCAAAGTTGGGCATCGATCATTGTGGGGGTCAAGGTCAAAGAGAACCCCCCAAAATTGGATTTTAATCATCGTGGGGGTCAAAGAGAACCTGGAGACCCCCAAAGTTGGACATCGATCATCGTGGGGGTCAAGGTCAAGGAGAACCCCCAAAATTGGATGTGGGGGTCAAGGGGCAATCTGGAGACCCCCCAAAACTGGACAAGGGGGTTGAGGTGCTCATGGAGACCCCCCAAGGTTGGACGTTGGCCACTGAGGGGGGTCAAGGTCAACAAAGACCCCCCAAGGCTGGACGTTGGCCATTGGGGGGGTCAGGGTCAACGAAGACCCCCCAATGTTGGACATTGGCCATCAAGGGGGGTCCCGGTCAACAAAGACCCCCCGAGGTTGGACATTGGCCATCAAGGGGGGTCCCGGTCAACAAAGACCCCCCAAGGTTGGATGTTGGCCATCAGGGGGGTCGAGGTCAACAAAGATCCCCCAAGGTTGGACATTGGCCATCGGGGGGTTGAGGTCAACAAAGACTCCTCATGGTTGGACATTGGCCATCGGGGGGGTCCTGGTCAAGGAGGACCCCATCGGGAGGGTGAAGATCAAGGAGGACCCCCCAATGTTGGCCGTTGGCCATCGGGGGTTCGACGTTGACCGTTGGCCATTGGGGGGTCCCGGTCAACAAAGACCCCCCCAAGGTTGGACGTTGGCCATTGGGGGGGTCCTGGTCAAGGAGGACCCCATCGGGAGGATGAAGATCAAGGAGGACCCTCCAATGTTGGCCGTTGGCCATCGGGGGTTCGACGTTGACCGTTGGCCATCACTGGGCTCACGGTCAATGAAGACCCCCCAGTGTTGGCCGTTGGCCATCGGGGGGTCCCGGTCAAGGAGGCCCCCCCAATGTTGG